TGATGGGGGGTGGGAGGGAGGAGAGGGTGGGTGATGGGTATTGAGGAGGGCACCTTTTGGGATGAGCACTGGGTGTTGTATGGAAACCAATTTGACAATAAATTTCATATATAAATAAAAAAAATAATTATAAAAGTGAAACAAAAAAAAAACAATACAACAGACAATATATAACGAAGAAATAATCCTTTAAAATGCTTACAGTGAACACTTGGATAAGTTTGTTAATTCTGTAGTGAAAGAAAGTTGTGGGATCAAGGTAATTGGTCTTATTCTTTCAATGTCTGTTTCTTCAAGCTCTGAAGCTAAGTATGAGAGGCTCTAGAAACCAAAACATAAATATATAATTTACAATGTAAGTTCACTGCTTAAGACAAGAATTCTTGAAATTACACTTTTATTTCTTAGGTTTGTCATTTTGTTGGGTAACTGTTACAAATACCAAGATTTCCTATTCTACCAAACAATTAAATGTTATAACCAGCAAAGAGGAGTTGAATGTTATTTTGAAATATAAATACCTCCCATTTATCCCCATTCTTAAATGCTTTTCCTTCAGTTTTCTTCTGAGTCTCAGACATTTCTAACAGTTCTTCTTGGTTTTGCTCATCACATTTATTCATTTTTACCCTAATTGATAATAAACATAATTATTTGAAGCAGAAATAATGGGACTATGTGAGATCTGTTAGAGGTGTTCTTAACACATATACACACATACGACCAATCTCTTACAACAAATAATTGTACACCCCAAGAACATTAGTAGTGAGAGTAAAAGTGAGTGGTGAGCAGGCGGTATTGGTCTAGATCTGCTGTTCTGAACAAACTTATGGCATCTCTGTCTCTCCTTTTCCGCCCAGGGGCTCATAATGCATGGGCGTATCAGACTGGTTTAAAGGAATGGAGGCAAGTCAGCAAGTTTACGTGAATTCAGAACTCTACGAAAAAGTTTCATGCTAGGTTAGGTTCAGAAACTGTCAGAAGCTGGGGTGCCTGGGTGGCTCAGTCGGTTAAGCTTCTGACTTAGGCTCAGGTCAGGTCATGATCTCATGGTTTAGGTCATGATCTCGTGGTTCGTGGTTCGTGAGTTTGAGCTTTGAGTCGGGCTCTGTGCTGACAGCTTCGAGCCTGCTTCAGATTCTGTGTCTCCCTCTCTGCCCCTCCCCCTGTCACACTCTGTCTCTCTCTCTCTTAAAAATAAACAAACATTATAAAAAAATTAAAAAAAAAGAAAAACCACAAGAAGCACTTTCATTAAAAACCACTGTAGCAGGAAAAAAAAATCAACAAAGTAAATGTCTTTCTTAATAGGCTGAAGTTACACTAATTTCTTAGTTTTGAAAAAGACATGGGTTGTGGGGAGGGAACTAGTTATTTCAATGTATTCACACACAGCTTAAGTGATTAGCAAATACAGATTTGAACTGTAACCATCTCCTCCACTAACTATGTTTTTATGACTTATACATTTCACCTAGGAGTATGATTGCTGGGTCTATGTGAGGCTTTGTAAGAAAAGTGCCAAACTGTTTTCTTTCTTTTTTTTTTTTTTTTGCCAACCTGTTTTCAAATGGCTGCACTAATTACATTCTCATCAGCAATTAATGAATGAGACTTCCTCCTGCTCAATATCTTCATCAATATTTGTTACTGCCTTTTTAATTTTGTCTTGTTTTGGATTTTAGCCATTCTAAATGGTGTACAGTTATCCCACTGTGGTTTTAATTTACATTTCTTTACTGACATGCCATGCCATGCTGAGCATCTTTTCATGTGTCCATTTACCATCCATGTGCCTTCTTTAGTGAAGTGTCTGTTCAAATCTTTCACCCATTTTAATTTTTTTAATAATGTTTATTTATTTTTGAGAGAGAGAGAGAGACAGAGACAGAGACAGAGTATGAGTAGCGGGGAGGGGCAGAGAGAGAGGGAGACACAGAATCTGAAGCAGGCTCCAGGCTCTGAGCTGTCAGCACAGAGCCCGATGTGGGGCTCGAACCCACAAACCATGAGATCATGACCTGAGCCGAAGTCTGACTTAATCAACTGAGCCACCCAGGCACCCCAATCTTTTGCCCATTTAAGAAATCAAGTTGTCTCATTAAGTTTTAAGGATTGTTCAAGTATTTAAAATACAAGTCCTTTGTTGACGACATCAAGTAGATGTCTAGCTTCTGGATTTTCTCCCAGTTACTGTAAATGTCCAGTTATTCATGGGCGGTTCCTCAGGAGACTTATAAGAACAAACAGAGTAGCCACTCACCTTTGAAACTGTAACTTTACTGGGGTGCTTGTAAACCCTTGCTGTTGTCGGAGGGATTTTATTTGTTTCCAAGTCCGTGATATACTGTGTAATAGGGAGAAGTCTTTTCCTCTTTCTAAATCATAAAGCTGTTTTGTATTACTACAACAATAATGGTAGATCAAAAATATGTTGGTCATTAATAGAAATCATTAAAAATGGCCTGGAAGAATGTACTGACGAATTGTTCTGGATACCCCCACCTTATGATTTTTTTGCATTTTACCCACGTCTTGATATAGCTATAGAAATTCCACTTAAGAGATTAATTCCTTTATGACTGGAAGATTTTTCACTATTCAAAAGTGCCCTGCTAAAAGCCAGACTTTTCCAGATGTTCTGGTCATTCTGCAGTGTATTTATTATGCTTTTTTTCCAGATCAACAATTGAAACTATTGCTTCAAATTTAGAGGTACTTTGCTGGATGGGGTAGTGATCATATGATTTGGATATTGGTAATCTACAGTTTTTAAAGATGCCTCTTCTGTTTTATGACTTTGCAAACACACTATTAGTATGACAAATTACACTGACTTTCTAATGTTAAGTCACCCACCCTTGCATTCCTGGAATGGTCCCAACAACTTCACTGTATTAATGGACAGAATTCTGTTTAGCATGTTTGTAACTATGTTCATGCGTTAAATTGGGTTGCAAGAGTTTTTGTATTAAGTTTTGTTTTTGTTTTTAATTTTTTTTTAACGTTTATTATTGAGAGACAGAGAGAGACAGAGCATGAACATGGGAGGGGCAGAGAGAGGAGGAGACACAGAATCCAAAGCAGGCTGCAGGCTCTGAGCTGTTAGCACAGAGCCAAACGCAGGGCTCGAACTCACAAAACGCGAGATCATGACCTGAGGTGAAGTTGGATGTTTAACCAACTGAGTCACCCAGGTGCTCCTCTAATCAATTTTGCTTTATATATTTTGAAGCCATATTATTATACGTATATATGTGTATATGTGTGTATGCATATATATAAATACATCTTAATTAAACTGCATTATTTTGATGTACCTTCATTATACCTAGTAAAACTTTTTGCCTTAAACATCTATTTTACCTTATATTAATATAGCTATGCTGGCTTTATTTTGTTAGTGTTTGTATGGTATTTTTTCCCATTATTTCTATTCCCTAAATTTTTATATCTTCATGATCTAGATAAGTCACTTATAAATAACATACAATTAGATTTTAGTTTTGGGTTTTTTTCCTCCTTTTAAAAAAATTTATTGAAATTTAGTTGACACGCAATGTTACATTAGTTTCAAGTGTACAACATAATGATTCAACAATTCTACAAGTTATACTATACTCACCACAAATTTGTCTAACGTATGTCACCTTACAACACTAGTACAATACCATGTACTGTATTTTCTATGCTGTACCTTTCATCCCTGTGACTTATTCATTCCATAACTGGAAGCTTGTACCTCCCACTCCCCTTCACCCGTCTTGTCCATCCCCCTACCTCCTTCCTCTCTGGCAACCACCAGTTTGTTGTCTGTACTTATGGGTCTGTTTCTGCTTTTTGTTCATTTATTTGTTTTCAGATTCCACATATAAATGAAATCATGGTATTTGTCTTTCTCTGTCTTACTTACTTCACTTAGCATAATACCCTTTAGGTCCATGTTGTCACAAATGGTAAGATCTCATTCTTTTTTATGGCTCAGTAATATTCTGTGGTATATGTGTGTATGTGTCTGTGTGTGTGTGTGTGTGTGTACACCATATCTTTATTCATCTATTGACAGACACTTAAGTTGTTCCATATGGATTTTGTTTTCTAAATTCTAATCCAGTCTACCAACCTAGACAAAAATGGAGCACTTAGCTCATTTAGATATATTTAGGTTTCACTCCATTTTCTTTTATGTTTTCTACTTGTCTCATATGTTTCTATGTTCCTTTTTCTCTCTTTTCTTGTCTTCTTTTGGATTGTTTGAATATTTCTTTATTGTCTCATTTTCCTCTCCTATTGACTTGAAAGCTGTATTTTCTTTTAGATGTTGTAAGTTAAAATCTGAGCCCTTGATTTATCAAAGTCTAATATTAAGCTTTACCCTTACTCTCCTTATGAACAATGCAAATATCTTTAATTACTCTTATCCTCCTCCATTCTTTACTCCATTCTACAAGTGAAACATTTGAACTCTCTCTCTATTTTTATACCCATGAGACACCATTACATCACTTGTTCACTGAGAATTACCTACATATTTACCACCTTTACTGCTCCTCAATACTTCCTGATTCATTTTTTACTGTAAGCTCATGTTCCTTAGAATTCCAAATCTGTGAAAATCTCTGAGCTAAGGTTAAATTTGTGCTCTTCCAGAAAGAATATTTATTGGCTTTGCCAATTGTCTGCTGTCACTACTAATCTGGGACTATTTTAAATTCAGTTCTAAATCTGATATTTTAGATCACATAAGTACTATGAAGTCAGATTATAAATCTATATGAATGCTGGATTGTGGTTATGAATTTTCAAAGGAGCATTTTCCCCCTTCTGCCTAGTGACAAAGTCCAAGACAAATTTTTTTGTCATCCTCTTTATATTCCCCCTTCATGAGGTTTAACACCCATTATAGAATGATCTCTTACTAGACTTTCCAATTAAGTTGGCCTTCACTTTCTTTATCTTCTACTTTTGGTACTCCCTGAAGCCATCTGAATGATAGCTCAAGGTTACTAATATTTAACAAATATCCTCAGCATAAAAGCTGGCTTTACCCCTCTCTAATTTTTATGATTTTTCCTTTCAGTTTGTTTTTGGCTTTTGCAGATTCCTTACTTTTTGCCATTTTGGGAATACGTTTATAAAGATAACATTCATATTTTATCAGACATTTTTAGTTGTTTTCATTAAAAGGGCCATTCATTAAATCTAGTCTACCAGAAATAGAAGCCCATTGCCATTTATTCATTCAGCAAATATTCACTGAATGCTTACTACATGTCAGGCACTGTGCTAGTTAAGAGGGATACAAAGATAAACAGATATACTCTCTGGGTTCAAGAAGCTTACAGACACGTAAACTAACCAATGCAATAAAATGTTATAGGTGTTATAACAGAAGTCCACACAGCTAAAGTGTGGGCATAAATAAGAGCTAAAAGGCAATAGCAGGGGAAAACTTAAGAGTATGTGACACTCAATTCAAATCAACAAACACATAATAAATATCTATTATGTGGTAGGGAATATTTTGGGTGCTGATAACTAATATCCCAACAGGGAAAAATGCAGAACAAGTAATTACAAATATAATGAATATTATGAAAGGGGGAATATGTAAATACCATGTGAATATACAAAATAAAGAGAGAGAGAAAGAATTTAATCTAATCTAATGGGCAAGTAAGAGCCTCCCTGAGAAACTTGAAATTGAATAAAATGCATACGTTGCCTAAGTGTCAGGTAGAAAACAATGAAAGAACCTTCTAGAAACAAGAGGCATTAAAACAAGGATACTTAGATATTAGACAACATAGTCCATTTAGGGCACTCAACTATGAAATTCCAAAGCAGAAAGCCCTAACATGAAGCTTGAGAGGGAAGCAGGAGTCCGGTTACATAGGGCCTTACAGATCATGCTAAAGCTATTGAATTTTATTGTGAACGTAATAGGAAACCACTAATGTGGCTTATTTATTTAGAAAAATCACTTTGGTTTCAATACGGAGCATGGCTTAAAGAGAGGTATTCTAGGAGACTGAGTAGTCAGGCTATGAGATAAGCACCTGAAATAAGGCAGAATCAGTGGGAATGTTTACTGTTTGGAGGTGAGGGATGAGAGGAGAGGCAAGAAGGGGGTTCATGAATGACTTACAGCTTTCTATCCTGGGTACCAGCTCATTGTGGGTATCAGGCACATAAAAGGTTAGATAGTCATAAAAGGTTAAATATATCTTTTCTAATGGAAACACTGTTTTTCAAATGTCCACAAACTACTCTTTGCAGCATTTCAACACCACTCTAAGAATTTTCCTGAATGTAAATCTATTACATTGCTTTTTTTCTGCTTTGATAAAGCAATGATATCTTCAATGACCCTCTGACACACACACACACACGTGCATAGTGGTAGGCCCTTATCTACCATCATCAGATCCCATCTAAAGCCTACTTTTCTCTTTTCTTCATTAAAGCTTACTTGCTCTGTGCCAATGTCTGTTCTTTGCCTTTAATTTTAGTTAATCTTATAAATAACACCAGTTTATGGTTTTGTAAATACTGGTGGCTTCTATTCATTCATTCATTCAAGTAATGTTTATCAAGAACTCATTATGTGCCAGGACTTGTGCAAGGTATATATCAACTTTCTCAGGTAACATTGTTTGTGTTTAACTAGATTATTCTAGGAAACCAATTATTTAAATTGACTGTTGCTTCTAGAGTTTGTAGAACCATGTCAGGTCAATGGGCAGGGAGTGAGGGAAATTCTTTTAACTATCAAGTCACTCTCTTATATAGACATTTATTTTATCTTTGTGCATAAGTGAACTTTCTATACAATAAGTACCCCCCAGTGAGATTTCTTGCTTTTGGAGTGTCCTTGAGACGTACTTTATTTAGTTATTTCATACTTTCCTAACTTATCTTCCCAACTACTCTATAAGCTGATGGCTCTCAACTTGTACACCATGTTTTTTTCTTTTACACGGATCCTTAAATCTATATGCTCTTTGAGTAATGTTTTTAGCTGAATTAATTATCTTGTACATACATATACATGGATTAATTCTCATATACAAACACTTGAGGCTAATATGTTCCAAAAATATTAGTGAACTCATGGTGGTTTTTAATTAGCATGTGTTTTTTTAAATCAATGGATGTGTAAATTACAACTACTTTCATGTGACACTTCTATGAAATATTTTTACACAAAATTTTTTTTTTCAAAACTGGGTCTTAAGGAAAGGTTGGAACCATTTCTGTAGTTGTCTAAAGAGTGAGGACCTTGTATTTTTCTTATTTTATATCTTCCATAGCAAGTGCAATACTCTAAGGAGTTTCTTAATAAATGCATGAGAAATACACAAATAGTCAAAAACCTACCTTATCTGCCAATAATAATCTTGTAAAGATTTTTTGGTTAGCTGACTTATTTCCAAATTTTCACTTGCTAATTTGGTAGCGTCTCTCAGTGCTATCAGCTACAACAAAGAAAAGAGCTTTTTAGTACATTTCATCCATTGTCACCAATACTCCAATTTCTCTGAAGGTCCAGGTGTGTGCAGCAGAAGCACAACTGTATAACCTTTTGTGTATTACTGTCTTATCTTCTAAAATATATTTCATATAAGTACCTTGGGGCAGAACTGAAAATAACCTCAATACATTATACCTATGGGCACCTGGGTGGCTCAGTAGGTTGAGCATCTGACTCGATTTCAGCTCAGGTCATGATCTCACAGTTCATGGGACTGAGCCCTGCATCAGGCTCTGTGCTGACAGCACACAGCCTGCTCAGGATTCTCTCTCTCCCTCTCTCCGTTTTCCTCCCTCCCTCTCTCTCCCTCTCTCAAAATGAATTTAAAAAAGAAAGAAACATTATACCTAGAACCTTCTAATCAGTTCATTAATGAATGTAAAAAAAATGCCAACCAATTAAGATGGCATATTGAGCACAGGAATCTACCTTATCTTCCACAGTTACATTGGGATTCTTCCATGGTTACAGAAAAGATATGTTTATCTGTCTTTGTCCATATCTACTGCCAACATCACATCCATATCTATATATGTATATTTATGACTGCATTTATATCTATATCTCTCTATAAAAAATAAATGTATAACATAGGAAAACAAGAAAAAATAAAATGAAAAGAAAAAGATATACTGAGGAAAGTATAAAGCAGAAATATCCATAGAGAATATCTTTAGAGAAATAAAACTGGAGGAAACTGTACCCTTAAACATGCATAGGAGAAATCTGTCACAGGGACAGTTTATAGGAACTCTAAGACTAGAATCAATTAATATAAACGTTTACTGGAAGAAATCAGAGAAGATCTCAACAAATAGGAAGACATATGATAGTCTTGGATAAGGAAACACAATTTTTATAAAGATAAAATTTCTTTTGAAACTAATATAATAATATAATGCAATCACAGTAAATACGGTAATAGAATTTTAAAAATAGAAGTTGACAGGCTAATTCTAACACATGGAAGATCAAATCTTTAAGAGCATACAAAAACATCCTAGAAAAAATGAGGAGTCACTTGTCCTACTGCATTATAATTTAACAATTAAATATAGTAATTAAGACAGGGCAGGACTAAGGGCAGCTGGGTGGCTCAGTTTGTTGAGCATCTGACTCTTGATTTCAGTTCTGTGATAGCTTGCTCTGCATGACTTGTTTTCTCTTTCAATATTAAATGGTCAACTCTATAAATAGAATAAAAACCATTCTCACCTTCTCATAAAGCAGCTGAGGTAAATTCTGTTGCTGCCTGTCCTGAAAACACTCATAAAGTTGAAGCAGCCTAGCACATAACACTTGTTCTTGATTGAAGAGAGGATGATGGCTGAACTGCAAACCCACAATGTTAAGATCTAATTGATACATTTCCCTTTGACCTTCCATTTTGTTCCTCATAGAGCTTTCCAGATCAGGTTTCACTGCCTTTTAAAGAAAAATATGTACATAATGTTAACTTTATTCTTTGTATGTCTTTTGAAATTATAAGTGATTTTTCCTTATAAAAGTAACACATTAACTGTAAGAAAATGAAGGGATACAGGAAAGCAATAAATAATTTGCTTTTTTTCCCTTGAAATTGATTATGGCCCTTGATCTCATAAAATATATTTATATTGCATCATTTTAATCATCTTTCTATAAATTAGTGTCACATACCTTATTGTTGTGTGCTGGTAGAAGTTAGACTTTCAAGTTATAAGCCCCAGAATGATTTCCTATAGAAACATTATGACAAATGGTCTGTTTAGGTCTGTTGGGTTAATAGTTTAGGTGTGTTGGGTCAATAGTTCGACTACCTGATGATCTCTAATAGTCATCCATGGGCCAGAGTTAAGTGGTAAACCCTTATTAAAACATTGTTCTTATGTGAATATATTGGTAATGCCCTGGAAAATCCCCTGGAGGGGCCTGGACCCTCAAAATAAATGCTACCTAACAAGGAGACCATCTTTTGTTATACATGAGATTGTCTCCACGTGTATACCAAACTGCCCCTAAATTAGCTGAAGTCTGTAAACCTTAACCAATATACCAAATGATTCAATTATGTTTTAGTACACTATTCTGAATTTAAGTACATGTGTTTGAATATGCACGTGACTAGTTATTAGTGATGTAATTTGAGAGAGTTAAGGGGTTACTCAGCATAGATAGCCTAGTTCATGAATGCCTAGCCACTCTCAATAAGATCCATGACTGCATCCACCTAAAAAGGAGAGCTCGAGCCCTCTTTCTGGATCAGTCTGGTGTAATAGGATGTGCTTCCCAGTCTGTGCCATTGTTATTACAATCGCTGTTACACTGAAAAATTGCTGTTGTACCTTTGACTTGGTGTGGCAGACCCAGTGCTTCTCAAGGACTGTAGGTTACCAGTATGATGCCTACATTTCTCCCTATCTACTCTCTCCTGAGCCAGGAATATTCCCCTATTTCCTCACTGGCCTGAGGGGAGGCAAGAGAAGAGCCATAAAGTTTGTTTTGTTTTGTTTTATCCTTATCTTGTAAGTCTCTATGTTCTATGTAAGGACCAACTCAGAGAAGAAAACCTGTTCTTGATTCCACTTATAAGATTTAGTTAATTGGTAATAAAATGGTCATCTACCAGGCAAAAACACCAATGAAATAAACGGCTTTGGTGTTAAGCAACCAAATTATAAATAAACTTTTGAAAATTAGAGTTCCTAAGCTAGAGATGCCTGTTTTATTGAGCAGATTCATCACTGGTCAGTTAAGTCAGAGGATTAAGAGAACTTCTAGAAGTAGGTAAGTGTGTTAGACCAAAAGCACAAAGATCTAGGCAACAATAAATCAAAGGCTGGATAAATGCAAAAAAACATCCAAGCTGGCGACAAGTATAAAATCTGCGCAAACGCATAAGAGGAATGTTGGAAGAGGGAGTAAAGGGCATAGTCAAATGGTCAGGCAAAACTACTCAGCAAACAGGCAAATAAGACCTGGGGTAGAGGAATCTGGCAGAGGCAAGAACAAAGACAGGACTTTGGTATTTGGGCAGCTATTACCTGTGCTTCAGTCGCCCTCATATTTCTTTTATTCTGGTGAGAAACCCCAAATGAGTCTTGCCTCCAAGGCTAGCTGGGCTGAGTAACAAATGTGGAGAAGATAAAAGGGGAAAGCAGGCAGAAGCATTTGGCTGACACAAATTCCAGAACATTATCTGTTAAGGATGCTACAGAATGAATTTGAACACTCAGTTTAGATGCTTGGTGAAGTGACATTTCCATTTACTTCCAAGTCTAAGAGTCCATGAGATACTGAAATTGTGCTTGGATAAACCGAGAACACAGGCATTTGAGGAAAAAGGTACTTGTTCAGCCCAGTGGTTTCCAACTTGGGATTCTGGTGGTTACAAAGGTTAATCTGGATGGTGGTTAATATTTCTCCCAAAATTATACATTTTGCATTTATTTGTTTTCATACAATTGTTCGTTCATTCATTCAGCAAACTATGAGTTGTTTCAAGGATCTCTCTCCCTAAGAAGAATCATCTCAGATAATTATGTCAAAATATCTGTGTTTTATCCTCAGCAATATTTAGATAAAACATATTGTCGCTATAAGGTGTAAATGCTATGCCACATAAGAGCAGAGAACAAGAAGAGATAAAATCTAGGGGTTTTCCCTCTTCCCTCTTTCATTCTTTCATTTTTATTTTTAATGGATATGGATTTTTATAGTAACCAAACTGGAAAAAACAGAAAGATATTGCAATGTTGGGTGTGTATGTGTGTTGGGGATGGAAAGCTCATTTAAAAAATGTCAGTAAATGTGTAATATTATAAATTAGGATAGGGCAGAGACATTATCAGTCTCTCATGGTGTGACAGGCACCATGCAAAAAATAATATTTTCCAAGATTATGGCAGTCAGCTGATGTCTTTCTCTTCTGATGTATACTAGGACTATAAAAGTTGACATCTACTGAGGTTGCATTACAAATAATACAAGCACTCATTGAGTGTCTATTATATGCTAGGCATTTGGATATGTGTTACCAATTGATTTAAAAAAAAAAAAAAAAGGAAAGAAAATACCACTCTCTTCAGTCAAGCAGGAAAGAGATTAGGTAAACAGAGGATACAGATACAGATTGAACCTTAACAAAACTGCAACCCAGTCTGAAATCAATAAAGTCTCGAACTGGGTTAAGATTTATTATCCCCACTCAATATGCCTAACAAAGCAAAGGACAGAACCTTTCTGAAAAAAAGATATAATCTAGAGCTTTTATAACTTTTCATACATGCTTTGATACAATAAAAAGCCTTTTAAAAAATAGAGTAAAAGTTTAAAAAACAGAGTTAAAGGGAAAATACATGAAAAAAATGGGAGTATTCTAGAAGAAAACTGGAATATATACATAAGAATCAAATGTCAAAAGAACATTTTAAAGCTAAAATTATACTGAAAATATCTGAAATTAAGAATTCATTAGACAGGTGATTCTGGGAATACCATGGCAATATAGTTTTACATATTCCCAAATCTCTACCTTTAAAACAGGCAGAGACGGATGCCTGGGTGGCTCAGTCAGTTAAGCATCTAACTTCAGCCCAGGTCATGATCTCTCAGTTCGTGGGTTCAAGCCATGCGTCAGGTTCTGTGCTGACAGCTCAGAGCCTGGAGCCTGCTTCAGATTCTGTGTCTGCCTTTCTCTCTGCCGCTCCCCTGCTTGTGCTCTGTCTCTCTCTCTCTCTCTCATGTTTAATGTTTAAATAAACATTAAAAATTTTTTAAAAAATAATAAAAATAAATAAAACAGGCAGAGAAACTAGATAGCAAAGCTCAAAATCCATAGACAAGATCCATAACAAAACTAGATCTCAAGAATCCTCCATGAAACCCAAAATATAAGTGGATGGAGACAAACCACTGACAGTAAAAAGACCTGCATGGTATTGGTGATTGTGTGGAAGAGAGGCGCAATGAAGCCACTGAAGGCCCTGACGGCAGGAGAACCCCAAAGGGCCAACAGATATTCACCAGAAAGTACAGCATCCCAACTCGGAAACAGCAGGTAAAATTGGAAGAGGTTTTATCTACTCCAACTGTGGGTGAGTGTAAGGGGTTTTGCTAAGGACTACAGGGGCTTAGAGGCACCTACTTCCTAAGAAGTTTTAGGACAAGTCTTCATACTAAAGAGAAACTGCTAGGAGTGGAATACAAATTGAAAAGGCTGGGGATCACAGAGATTACAGAAAGAGAAGGTACAGAAAAATATCTAGGAAGAGAAACACAGCCAAGAAATTTCAGAAATCAAGCCACTATATTTTTTTAACCCTACACAAGAACAATAGAGTTCTGTGACATTATTAGAAAAAGCTTTCTAGGAAAGCCAAGCCTTTTCTCTAAAAGTTCAGGAAAACTAATTTAATATAAAATGAGTAGTAGAAAAAAGACTCAAGATTAAATCTATAGAAATAAGAATAATGAATAAACAGTAAAATACTATCCCCACTGACAAAGTACAACACAAAGACATCCAGAAACAGATAAAAATAGAAATGTACTGCCAAATGAGCGAAAAGTATTGAGAAAAATTGTATGACATTAAAGAACATAAATCAGAATTAGAAAAATAGAGAAATCAGGTGACAGACGGAAAGTGACAGAAAGAATTAAAAATAAAAAATAATTTAGGGGCACCTGGATGGCTCAGTCAGTTAGGGGTCCAACTTCAGCTCACGTCATGATCTCCCCATCTGTGAGTTCAAACCCTGCACAGATACTGCATGGGATTCTCTCTCTCCCTCTCTCTCTGCCCCTCTCCCCTCAAATAAATAAATAAACATTAAAAAAAAAAAAGAGCAAAGCAACAGAGGGAATAAAGAATAACACCCTGTAAGTATTTTTAATATTATTTCCACTTTGTATCTACTTATAGCCAAATCTCTTATAGATGGAATAGTTAACGCAAGTGAATGGGCAACTGAGTCTTGTAAACAGTTCTGATTTAAATTTTTCGGGCCAATTTTTTTATGTTTATTTATTTTTGAGAGAGAGAGTGTGTGCGCATGCCTGTGGGGAAGGATCAGTAGAGGGAGATAGAGTATCCCAAGCAGGCTTTGCACTGACAGCACAGAGCCTGATGTGGGGCTTGAACTCACTGTGAGACCATGACCTGAACCGAAGTTGGAAGCTTAACCAACTGAGCTACCCAGGCGCCCCAACCAATTTTTAAATGTAACTATTTCTGTCTAAGTATTTCTTCTCTTAGGTTGATGGACTGCTAATTTTCACAATGTCTTGGAATACATATAAAATTTGTTTCTTTGACTATAATATATATTCATTTTTAAAATTTAGAACAGAGAAATAAAGCAAAAATAATCCTATGCCCTACAAGAGATAATTATTAATTTTGATATATTTTTCCACTTTTAATATATCTACACATGTATGTGTACACTTAGTTATTCATTGATTCATTTATTCTTTATTCTTATAAAATTAGGATCACATATAACTTTGCATTCTGCTTTTTTCTCACTTGGCATTTTATTTTGAGCATTTCCCCCACATCACTGAATATTCCTCAAAAACATAATTTTCATGACTATTTTACATTTCATCATAGTTTTGCCATTTATTACTAGATTTACTAATATCAATAAGGGGTGAATTAACACCACAAAGACATAAGTTACCATTGATACTACAAGAATTCTTTTAACCATCATTACAAATAAACTTGCCGGTTACCTTTCTGTATATGGTCTTTAGTGCTGGATTTAAAGATCCCTTGCTTGTGTTTAGCCTGAAATTCCACGATTGTCTGATGGGTGAAGGTAATGACATAATTTCTCCACTTTCTTCAAACCAACTCTTCCCCTATCAAAAATATTCAAGAAACAGAGTAATAAGATATTTCGCTAAAAACAAACGTCACATGCTCTGAATGAGTGATGTAACTTGGTAGCTGGCGTACTTGCCTCTTCTACGGTAAGCAGGCGATTTTCCATTTTGTTGCAGGTCTTTTTATGGATTTCTGGTTTTCTCTGAATATAGAATCCTTCATCTTCTAAAATGCGTGGCATCATATCTTTTGGCAGTTTACGCTCGTTGGCCACTTCATAACAAAACCTTGATATTACTCTAAAGTCCAAAATCCTAAACTGGTATTGACTAAACAAGAAGCAAAAGGTAATTATCATATCCCCTACCACTAAAGTCTAGCAGGAAGTCTAAATGCATACATACAATGAATGAGCTCTTTTAACCAGTTTCCTTAAAGTCAGAGAAGACATGAGGAACAAATACAGAAAACTTGCTCTAGTTTCAGCTCGGTAGTTTGTATCTATCCAGCATACAAAAAGCTATTATTCTACCATATGATTCATTCATGACTTAAATATTTCATTGTAAGGAATTTTACCTGGAGAATTACTTGGCACAAAAATGTTTGCCTGTTGTTTTCTGATTTGTTCTTGATCAACTTCATATTCAGCAGCTTTTACTTCAAGTAAATCTGGAAAAATGACTTCCTGCATAAAATCTTCACCTTGGTCTTCAGCAAAATTTTGTAAATTATCATCAAGCGAAAAGTGTTTGGGATAGCTGTCATTTACTGATCTCTGTTGAATACCAAGAAGAAAAATAAGTAAATGTGTTGTCCCCAAGATTAATACATAGATAAATGAGATGTATTGGGACCTTGCTGTGAATTGTCTTTCTGATCCATGCCACCTAGTTCAAGTTCGAGCTGAAACTGTTATAATAAAATTTCATTGAACATAGAGGAACTCATTTAAGGCTTAACAATATGCAGTATGATTTTTCTCTATCCCTTCTTTGCAGTTCACAATGAAAGATTACTGGAATAGAACTATAATTCAAGCCCTTCCTCTCTCATGGAGAATGTCCTGAGATACTGGATTATGATATTTCAACCACCGAGAATTCAGTTGTAGGGCAAAGTCCAGAGACATCAGGCCATGCAGTCTTAAATTGCATTTTTTTTTCACCATTCAGGAAGGTGACCAGATCACCTTCCTGGTCTTTACTGTGCAGCTCACAGAGAGCAGGGTCTGTGCTGTTAGGTGTTATGTGACAGGGAGTATGAGGTCAGAAGCATCCACCTAACTTTCCATGCATAAGTGTAGATGGATACACTTGAGTATGGTGTGGTAGAAGAGATATCACTGACTCCCCCCGCCCCCCAATGTCACAGGAATATGTCTTGCTGATTGTGGTGTGATAGGCAGAACTGTCTGAAAATAACTTTGGACCTCACTTTGGGCTGTCCAGACAATATATTTGGGACCAGGACTCCCCTTTCTCCCAGCAGGAAGAAACTCAACCCCCAACAAAACAGTGGCTTTCTTCTCTTTGTGACAAGGAAGTCATCAGGGCAATGGCTTCTCCAGACAGCTCCTCTCAACAATCCAGACCTAGGAGCACCTGGGTGGCTCAGTTGGTTAAGCATCTGACTTTGGCTCAGGTCATGATCTCATGGTTCATGAGATTGAGTGCCAGGTCAGGCTCTGTGTTGAAATCTCAGTGCCTGGAGCCTGCTTTGGATTCTGTGTCTCCCTCTCTCTCTCTCTGCCCCTCCCCCACTCGTGCTCTGCCTCTTACTCTCAAAAAAAGATAAATAAATAAACATTGAAAAAAATTTAAATAATCCTAAACCCGGACTCACTGAAGTCCAAGTAGCTGGTCTGCCTCACTGACCTAATTGCTCTCCTGCCTGCCCTCCAAGAAGGAAAGCAGCCATAACCAGAGCACCTGACCCTGGTACACTCTGCTGGCTGGCCTTTCTCTTGTTTTCTCAGAAAAGCTCATTCTTTAACCCATATTGTGAGACTCCAGGACGTCAAATGACTTGGCAGAGCATGCACATGTTTGAAACTTATTCAGCATACGTTGGACCATTCACTGAGTGCCTAATACGTTTCAGGAAGAAAATAAACAAATAGATAAGGGATATAGGTTGGGTGGTGACAAGTATGTTGAGAAACAGAAAAGCAAGATAAGGGGTTAGAGAATACCAGGCCAGGTGGGTGGGGGTACTAGACAGAGTTGTCAGACACAGTATCTTAGATTATGTGTCACTTGAACAGAGACCCAAAGGTAGTGAGAGAGAGAGAGCATGAGGATAAGGGAAAATCTTCCTACACAAATCAAAGGTAGAAGTCCTTGAGGCAGGAGCATGCTGTGAGGAATAAGGAGGAGGCCAATCTGTCTGGAGTTGGGTGGGAGAAGGGCAGAGAAGTGAGCAATGAGGTCAGAGAGGTACCAAGGGGGCCAGGTCACATAGGCCTTGGAGGACTTGAGGTTTTGTTTTGAGTGACATAGGAAACCATTAGAAGGTGTAAGCGAAAGCATGGTCTTAGATCTTAACAGGATCACTCTGCCCACTGTATGACACAGAAAATAGCCTGTTGAGGTAATAGTGAAAACAGAGGGTGACACTGACAATGATCCAGATGAGAGGTTATGGTGGCTTAGACTAGGGTTGTACCAGTGGGGGTGGTGAAAAGTGGGTCAGATTCTAGGATACTTTGAAGGTAGAACCAATAGGATTTGTGATGAATTGGATGTGAGGTATATTGTCATTTGTTTATTTATCTTCTTCCTGTAACACATTAGGCACTCAATGAATGTTCCAATGAGTGTTGAATAAATGAGTTTCAAACATGTACATGCTCCGCCAAGTCATCTGACCTCCCAGAGTCTCATAGTATGGGTTAAAGAATGAATTTTTCTGGGAAAATAAAAGAATACCCATATCCATAAAAGAGGATCCAAGGATGACACCAAGGTTCAGCTGAGCAACTGGAAAATGGAATGGCCATTTACAAATATGATTCTATTCATATAAAAGCCCGTGTCTGTGCAGGTATGGGCATAAGAATAGAGAAAGATGTGAAAAATGATAGTGGTTTATCTCAGAGCAGTGGGATTTCCTGTGATTTTCAGTTTCTTCCACATGTTTCCTGAATTTTTAAAAATACTGTACATGCTTTCTTTAAACTTTTAAAAGATAAAGCTCTTTTTATTGTAGAAAAAACAACAATAACAAAGAAGGACCGAAAGGACAGGGGCAGGATGCAGAGAAACGGGGGTGGAAGGGAAAGGGAAGTAAATCAGAATGCAAATGGGTGCCCAAGAGGGACTCCTGAAGCCTGAGGGATTAGAAAACAGCTGAGGGGTGTCAAGAGACACTGGGTCCAGTAGTGCTGGGGGAGAGGACCAAGGAAACTGTGCAGAGACTGAAGGCAGAGAGGAGTTAGAGAAAGGGTAGAACAGAAGCAGGCAGGGACAGCGGCGGGGGGGGGATGGACACTCAGGAGATGGGGAAAGACTCGTGAGACTAACTGGTACCGGAGGAGAGGACCACCAGGGAGTAACAGGAGGCTGAGGAGTTTGGAGAGAAGCGGAAGAACTGCTACAAATTAGAAGAGTCCTGGATCTGACCGGGAGGGAGGGAGAATCAGTTATCCACGGAGAGTAATGAAGATCATGGAGAACAGCGTGGGACACTTGGAGAGAAGGACAGGAACAACAAAAGAAAAAGAAAACACGGGTTTTGGAGGGAAAGCCGGTCCTTCCAGCTCTATTGATGTCTAACCCTCTGTGCCTGAGCTTCCTTGCCTATAAAGTAGAGATTATAGTAACACCGCCTCACACGATTAGGATGAGGATTGGATGATATGGTCCATATTAAAAATTCAGTACAGCATTGGGCATCCAGTAAGCACTCAATCAATGTTTAGAATTATTATTTTGAACATATTCTTAATTAAAAGAGAAGAAGGTGACTCAGTAATAAAAATTTCATCTCCCATCCAAGCATTTCATTCTATGACTTTAATAAACAGTTCATTGTCCTGAGGCACAAGAGGAAGGGGAACAAATCCAACCTGCTCTGAACACCGGCCTGAATCGGAGCCTTTGTCACCACACGGCATGAAAAACCAAAGGCCTTCATCGAATGAGACTTCAGTCTGTGGATTAAACAATGGTAAACCGGTATTCAGGGTGGAAATACTTTTTTCTGCTTCTAAGTGGAAGAAAAACTTTTGTGTAATGTGGTAAACACTAATTATTATCTTAGTCGTGAGCAAGGAGCACCAAGAGTCTGTTTGGTTCATTACGTTTTTTGGTTTTTGTTTTGAAGGTTCTGGTAACTGCAATAAGAAACAGAATGATGTACAGCCCAGTTCTTCTGCTTCCCAAACTATCTCTTCACTACTAAGAGTACTAATACTAAGAGTATTACCTTACAGTTTGACCAAAATGAAGGCACAGGGCAAACTCTTTTTTCTCCCAGTTTTTGGGTGCTCTGATGTGCTAACACACGAGTACCACCGCAGGGCATCTACAGCCTTTGCGGCTATAGGTAGTTCAAAGTATTAAAAGGGGCATATTCTTAGTTAGAAGTTTGCTGATAAATAAGCTCTCATTTTTCAATACTGTCAAGTCTGAATCTTTTAAATGTAAGTCACCATTTCTTTCTCACACACATATTAAAATGAACTGTTTGTAGGGAGATTTGGGAGAGGAATTAATTCCATAATAAAAAATAAAACTCAGGGGCGCCTGGGTGGCTCAGTCAGTTAAAGGATCTGACTTCACTTCGGCTCAGGTCATGATCTCACAGTAGTCATGAGGTGGAGCCCTGCATTGGGCTCCCTGCTGTCAGCACAGAGTCTGCTACAGATCCTCTGTCCCTCTCTCTTTTCCCCTCCCCCGCTGGTGCCCGTGATCTCTCTCTCTCTCTCTCTCTCTCTCTCTCTGTCAAAACTAAATAAACATTAAAAAAAAAAGTAAAACTCATAGTTACTAGAAGCCAAATAATTTTAAAATATGTAAAATACAAAGTTTACTTTATACCTTGTTCGTATCTACAATGCAACTGTCACATTAACTTTAAAAGTTATTCACCCTGGGGCTCCTGGGTGGCTCAGTCAGTTCAGCATCAGACTCTTGATTTCAGCTCAGGTCATGATCTCACAGTTCATGAGACCAAGCCCCACATTCAGGCTCTGTACTGACAGCGCAAAGCCTGCTTGGGATTCTCTCTCTCTATCTCTCTCTCCCCCGTCAAAATAAATAAATAAACTTTAAAATAAAAAATAAAAAATTCACCCTGCAACAATGCTGCATATCTAAATTGTCAGTATACACTTTACTTCCCTTCATCTCTGCTCATTGCAAAACCACTTGCTAAAATCCTCAACTTCCTGAGCAGATATTTCTATCTAGTGGTTGGTATGGAGAGTCTTAGAAGCCAATTTCTCCTCCTTTGAATGCATAATTCTGTAAGTTAACTAAAAATCGTTAAATCATACACTTAAAATGAGTGAATTTTTGCAACATAAAGTATATCTCAATAAAGCTGTTTTAAAAAGTGTAAAGAGGGAGGGGTTAAGATGGGGGACCCTGGACTTTCCTTGTGCCTCAAACACAGCTGTATTGTGGTCAGATCACTTGGAACACCTAGGAAATCGACCTGCCCACTGGCAGAAGGATCTCCACAGTTGGAGGGAGACAGCGTGGTAGGTGTGAGGTGCATGGAAGCGAATTGGGGGAGAGAAAAACAGTGGCGCCACGGAGGGGAGGGAACCCTTTCCATGGAGAGACCAAAGGGAGAGAAAGAGAGAGAGATTGAGAAAGTGTGGCATCAATTTCTCACAAAAGAAAAACCTCTCTGGATCACAGACTGGGGAGCAAAAAGTGCTGAGTTCCACAGGGTTGTCTGTCTGTCTGTCACTGTGTTTGTTTTCCACAGGGTTTTTTTTTTTTTTTTCCACAAACTTCAATTGGAGCTCAAACTCTGAGGTTTTGGAAGTGTGCAACTTTCTCTGGAGCAGAGCTGTGACATGTGCTCCTGGGGAGGAGGGAGCTATCCCCTGAGTGCATAGTGTGGTACAGAGATCTCTGGGGCGCATTGTGAGAGAACATTCCCTTTCCTGGAGTACTTTTGGAAGAGGGTTTATTGCCTCCCCAAGGACAAAACACCCTAAGGGTGCCAGCCAAAGACCTTTCATCAACAGGTCACAGAGGTGCATCCAGGGGGATATAACCTTTGCTACTTTTAGCAGTGCTACTCCATAGATTCTGTGCACTGTGCAGGCGGGGGGCTGTTTTTTAGGGACAGAGGGTGTCAGACACCGTGTGGAGAAGCTCTACTCTGGAGGAGGGGAATGGATCCACGTGGTGTCAGGTCCTTTAAGACTTTGGGTTTTGAGCATTTGACAAAATACAGCATCCTTTCTTGATAAAAACCCTCAAGAAAGTCAGGATAGAAGGTATCCTAAGATACCTAGGAATAAACCTAACCAAAGAGGTAAAAGATCTGTATGCTGAAAACTACACAAACTTACGAAAGAAATTGAAGAAGTAATAGAGAATCACTCCATGGACTGGAAGAACAAATATTGTTAAAATGTCTATACTACCCAAAGCAATCTACGTGTTCAATGCAATTCCTATCAAAATAACATCAGCATTTTTTTTAACATTTATTTATTTTTGAGAGAGAGAGAGAGTGAGAGGGAGCAGGGGAGGGGCAAAGAGAGGGAGAGAGAAGATCTGAAACAGGTGCTGCGCTATCAGCTAAGAGCCCAACACGGGGCTCAAATAATGAACCATGAGATCATGACCTGAGCCAAAGTTGGACACTTAACTGACTGAGCCACTCAGGCGCCCCAACACCAGCATTCTTCACAGAGCTAGAAAAAGCAATTCTGAAATTTGTACAGAACCTGAAAAGACTCCAAATAGCCCAAATAATGTTGAAAAAGAAAAGCAAAGCTGGAGGTATCACAATTCTAGACTTCAAGCTGTATTACAAAGCTGTAATCATCAAGACAGGATGGTACTGGCACAAAAACACATACATCAATGGAACAGAATAGGGAACCAAGAAATGGACCCACAAACATATGGCCAACTAATCTTTGACACAGCAGGAAAGAATATCCAATGGAAAAAAAAAGACAGTCTCTTCAGCAAATGGTGCTGGGAAAAGTGGACAGTGACATGCAGAAGAATGAACCTGGACCACTTTCTTACACCACAGACAAAAATAAACTCAAAATGGATGAAAGACCTAGCTGTGGGACAGGAAGCCATCAAAATCCTAGAGGAGAAAACAGGCAACAACCTCTTGGATCTCAGCCACAGCAAATTCTTATTAGACATATATCCAGAGGCAAGGGAAACAAAGCAAAAATGAACTATTGAGATCTCATTAAGATAAAAAGTTTGCACAGCAAAGGAAACAATCAGCAAAACTAAAAGGTAACTGATGGAATGGGAGAAAGTATTTGCAAATGACATATTGGTTAAAGGGTTAGTATCAAAAATCTATAAAGAATTTATCAAACTCAACACCCAAAGAACAAATAATCCAGTGAAGAAATGGGCAAAAGACATGAATACACACTTTTCCAAAGAAGACATCCAGCTGGCTAACAGACACATGAAAAAATGCTCAACATCATTCATTATCAGGGAATTACAACTCAAAATCACAATTAGGTACCATCTCACAGGTGTCAGAATGCCTAAAATTAATAATTCAAGCAGCAGCAGATGTCCGTGAGGATGCGGAGGAAGGGGAACACTCTTACACTGCTGGTGGAAATGCAAACCGGTGCAGCCAGTCTGCAAAACAGTATGAAGTTTCCTCAAAAAAATTAAAAATAGAACTACCCTATGACCCAGCAATTGCACTATTAGGAATTTATCCAAAGGATACAAAAATGCTGATTCGAAGGGGCACATGCACCCTAATGTTTACAG